GTCAGTCCGGAGGACAAGGAAAGTTCTCCGAACTTGACACCGACAGTGTCTACTACCTCGACTTCATCATTTGTTCAATGAGTCACATCCCTCTCCATCAACTATCAATGCGGAACCGTGTTCCCCTCGCATCAACCCAGTGTTCCGGCGTTTTTCTTTCTGCATCATATCCTATTCTTCCCATGTGAGCCTGCTCCTCACAATTGTCTGGAAGTTCTGTTTTTTGCGCCATTGCCATTGCCATTGCCATTACTTCACCATCAGCGATACCCCTTAAGTTACTTCGATCTGTTTAACCATGTATACCTCGGATAGCCATTGTTTCACCCTCTGTACCGGCCCTGGAGACCGAAACCATGTATTGAAACTGGGAGAGGTGTTCCTGTTCTGTTCTATTCTATTTGCTTTGTTCCTGTTTTCTTTTGCTTGTGATATCTCCTTGGCTAAGAATGACCATGTCGTGTATTCCACCTTTCATCCCATTACTTTCCTGGAATTATCCTCCTTCCTTTTGTTTCCCCTGTTTCTATTATATTCCTGTTCCATTTGTACTCAAGTTCGCATGAGTTCTATCGGGGTTCCTTCTTTTCGGTTTCGGCGATCTCAGCCTCATCATTGTCATCATCATCATCATCATTATTATCATCATATCGCATTTGAGGAGTCAAATCACATCACGGGAGAAGACGTGCGTGGCTGGATCACCGAAGTAACTCATCTTCTCTCTGTTTCTCGCTTTCACTCTCATCTCCATCGTCTCTCCTATTTCATTTCATTGGAACATCATAGCATGAGGATTCGGGATTATGTTTCCAGGGCGCTCTACAATTTGATTGGATCATTACAGTATTCAATTTCTCCCTTTGCATACCATACTATCCTGATAGTGAATCTGGTATCTAGCATCCGGATCATTTCAACGTCCTTCCCAATTTGCAACTGGATGGATAAGATGGATGACTTTCGTTTATATGTTTTGCTTTGCAAAGCCGGTCTTTTCCTGTATTAACTACTATTCCCATCCTTGTTCATTTGTTCATGGTTGCTTCCCTGGTGGTTGCTTGATCGTGGTGTCTTTCACACTTGGATGGGATATTTTTTGCCTTTGTTGTGTTGCGATCTACTCTATTTATTCCCCCTGTTTTATTAGATAGTGCGCCGAACGCGCATTCTTTCTTTTGGAAATTGGATTTCTTTTATACTGCCATTATCGGTTATATGTCCTACTACTATTAGTGAATGAATATAAATATCTAGTGGTATACTATATCCTATCTACAAGCCGTCGATAGATGAATATAAAAACAAGAAGTCCTGCTGTGTAGGCGTAATCAGAGACCCTCTCGAGCCTCATAGTCATTCCATCATATCCCGATCCCAGATAGAGAAGGGTTCATTAATATACACAGATCGAGCTCACGGTAAAACCGGAGTAAACAAAGCAAAAGACAAATAAAAGCTAAAAGCTCGCTCAGATAAAACAAACCCAATCAACCCTTCAAAGAAAAAGCCCTAACCTTCTGATGCCCCTTCAAGTCCCCATCCCTCTCACCACCCATCCCCATGCCCTCCAAATCCTCGGGATCCCGTCCATAATCAACATAAAGCCCCGCAACCTCATCAACATCAACCTCATTCCAAGTGTCACTAGTTTCAGCCACAGGCCAAATCCAAGTAAGAGCAAAATAAACAACCCCAGAAACAATAACGCCCGAGAAATAATTCACATTATAGATATACTGCGCGCCAACAGGAACATCCCGTCCCACGGCACCAGCAAAGCCAACAATATTGACCATGATGCCGCTCAGGTAGGCTGCGTACGCGCGCCAGCTGAAACCGAAGCTGAAGTAGTAGGCGTCGGAGGTGCGCGCACTGTACAGGGCTTTGATGTTTAGGTAGCCTTTTCGGACGATGTAGTAGTCGGTGATCATTACGCCTGCGATTGCGGAGAGGAAGAGGGAGTAGGCTGATAGGTAGGTTGTGAAGTTGTTGGAGGTTGAAACTAGGTTCCACTGTTTTTTTTTAATTTTTGTTAGATTTGATGTAACAGGAGCTGGGATGGAGATGGGGGGAGACTTACTGGACACATGGCCAGGCCGACAGCAGCACAGATATAACTTCCCCGACGGATATTCAAGTAGCGAGGCAGGAGAGCAGTTAGATCCGTTCCAGCGGAGACGGAGTTAGCCGAGATGTTCGTTCCTAGCTGAGCGAGGGCGAATCCAGTAGCGATGATGAAGATACCGAAGCGCTGACCGGAACTCGCGCCATCGAGGAATTTGCCAAGGAGATCGAGTGGGTTCCAGGTATATCCATCATTAAAGATAACAGAAGAAGAAGACGAGACGATAATTCCGATGAACGATGTCACGCCAAAGCCAATGGGGATAGTGAAAAGCTGAGACCAGAGCGCATCCTTGGGTGTTCGAGCGAAACGCGAGAAATCAGGATCGTTCATGATCAGCGCGGCGAAGTTACCGATGCATGACATTATTCCTTTGACCATTGCCCAGCGGAACTCAGTGCCGTGGACGGTGTTGGGCTGGTGGATGATTGGACCGAGGCCGTTGGCGCGGGAGATGGCCCATGCGAAGAAGGCGATTGCCGCGATGGGGGAGTAGATCGCTTTGACGGTGAAGAGGTGGCGGACTTTGTGGACTGGGAACCATAGGGCTGGGAGGGAGAGCAGCCAGAAGAGAAAGAAACTGAGGAAGTTCTTTGTGTCGACGCCTGCGCTGGCTGAGAGGCCGTTGTGGAGGTTTCGGTAGCTGGGCCAGATTGCTTCGATCATTAAGGTGACGCATTGGCCTGGTGATGGGGTTAGATGGGGGATTTACTTGCAAACCCAAGTTTGGGAATACATACCTCCGATATAACTTTGTACTCCGTACCAGATAACTGCCATGACCACTCGGTTCAAGACGGGCCAGAAAGAACCCCAGATTCCGAATGATGCACGGGCAGTGACTGGGAATGAAATGTGATAGACGGCGCCGATGCGACCTGTTAGACAGACAAATGCTGCCGCCACGAGGTATCCGACCCAGACGCAGATCCAGGACTGCCACCAGGAGAGGCCGTCGACGATCATTGAGGAGGAAATCATCCATGTGTTCTGGTTTGGTTAGATGTCGTTCGATTCTGGGCTGTTCAGGTACTGACGATGTTCAATGAATCCGCAATCCAGAAAGCGATATAGTTCAGCCACCTCCATTGGCGGCGCTCCGGGTCCACTGGGAAAAGTCAGTCACTACCTTGGTACAATCTGGGGGAGTTATGGGTACCTGGCCGGAGATCACTGTTGGTCAACATTAACTGAGCATTGCTCAAGCCAGGTTCGTTTTCGACCTCGAGCTTCTTGAGCATCCATTTTAACTTGGACATGGTGAAGTATAGGAAGGGGTGTAGTATAGATGGAATGGGAAGTGAACCAAGGGGACAGGAACACCTTTATGATGTTCCTGTCCCACATTACGTTCGCACCCCCTGTTCCGAGTAGCCATGATAAGAAGTCCATGGGATGATCTTCCATGTGTGTTCCCCAGTATGTACAGTGGCGGCTTAGAGGATCGTGCACCTATGACCGAACGGCTCGAGTCATGGCTTATCTATGGGCGTCGGGGAGTGGGGCTATTTGTCTCTATTAGATGGTGTGATTGGCCACTTCCTCTATCTAATCTGGAGAAAAGCTGGAGATAGACAATTGTCAAGTCAAGTTGACTCGATCAGATCGAGTAATTCCTTACACGTGAGAGCTGACGCCTCAGGCTTATGTTTATTTTCAGCCTGAGGCTATAGCAGAGGCCTGAGGCACTCAACATACTTCATGGACAGATTCCAGACTACAAACATGTAACGATATTACTTAGTTTTACATAACACGCCAAAGAGATCAATAAAACGGTCAAATAGATATCTGAGAAGAGACTGAAAAAGACATGTAAGACGACTTCAGTAACTGCAACCTTAAACCGCCAACGTCTACATTACTGCATATCAGCTGACACATCCCCTTCAACTCCACACCTGTTCATCTCCAACCCTTCTACTCCGTACTTTTGAGGAATCCCGGACAGCAGATAACGATGGGAACCAAGAAGAGCGAAACCGCGGCATCAACCAAGTCAGCCAATCGGCATCCTCTTCGTCTTCCCAGCGAGCGACTCGTCAAAGAGGGACTGACCAGAGCAACCATTCCTGGCGACAGAATGCAATTCTGCACCCAGCGATGTTTACTCGGCTAAACAGAGAAGGGTTTTCCTAAATGAGGATTGTCCAAGCGCCCACATCCCTGCGAGGGACAAAATTCCAAACACCCTGTCGACGCAAAGTGTATGATCTCACTAAAAGCACAATTGGACGACAACATTGACCGATGTATACCCTTTAGAAAATGCGGGTCATACGGAGCCATATTCAAATCCACATGCCCTCCACGCGGCTTTACAGACGTCGGGAAAGGAACCGCAACAGGACTATATAAAGAAGTCTCCCTCGAAGCCTACAAAGTCCTAAGAAAAAGCCCAAGGCTCCGCTGTACCAGTGTCCTTCGGAAAAATAAACTTCGCTATGATCTACTTCCTTCATGGTGCTAGTCCGATATCTCAATGCTCACTATGGGCTGGGCAGGTGAAAGCACAGCATCTATGGAGCTGGACCCATGGCTTCTCAAGAAAATGACCAACTCTATTCGGAGATCCAAGTATTGGGGGGTAACCATGATCTTAGACGTGAGAATGTCTTTTAGAACAAGGAGCTTGAACGAGCTTTGATTATTGATTTCCATCGCTCTGTTTTGGAAGCTTGGCCTATGAAGCGGTCACGAGCTAGAAGAGATCAAGGCTTCCGCAAAGTCTGGGGACGTTAAGCGTCTACGCATATAAGAGATACTGTGTGCATTTTGTCTTCCATTAGCAGTTGCATCATATGACGAATTACGATACGAACTTTACGTCTTTGCACATTTGCATGTAGGGAATCCATACTTGGGAGACTATCTCGGATGACATTGCTGAATGCTTCCCTACATCACTTGCGCGTGAGGCATTCATTACCCATTATTACATATCTGCTTCCTTTCTAGCCACTCAATAAAATGGAGTCCGTGTTGGAGTTACGCAAAGGAAATATATTGAAGGTGAAGGCTTTTGCCAGGATGAACACGTCTCCAATTCGACCGATCATGTTTCATCTAATTCAGGAGCACAATAAATCAAACGAACACCTCGCAGGATACCGACGGCGCGCTTAGTGGATGCCGTTATAGCAGTTCTTCTCTAGGCTGAACAACCATCTGCCGATGGTCTCGCCCTTTCTGTACAATATATCGTACACGATGGGGTCTCATCTTTACCGGCGAAGAGCATCTCTGATAGGAGAGTCACCACGGCGGAAGGAGGCTGAATACCAGTTAGTTCAGGTGTACTCACACGAGTGATGACGGAAATCGAAGGTCGGGGAAAAGCAGATAGCCGGCCACGGGCGAGCTTGCATGGAATAGACAAGCTAAAGCCTGCTCAAGCTCTAGATAGTATATCTCACAGCATGCAGTAGCACCCGCTTTAACCAAGAGCTTCCCAAGGATTAAACACTCAATGAACATCAATATAAACATACCATCAGCCTCTTCCCAAGCACGACCTGCACCGAAGCCGAGACCAATCCATGCGGGCCAAGCTCTGCGCTTGAATAGGAGAACGGAGAAGACGACACCGAAAGATAGACCGAGGGAGGACTTGATGATCACGGAGGAGATGGCGCGGTCCCACTAAACGTTCAACGCAGATTAGCTAACAACTCCCGGTTTACGCTTCCAAATAGATCAATTGTTGCAGGTTTTGTGAAGAGTATCATCTGTAACGATTTCGTCCATTCGGAACCCCAAGCTAGCTCATACCTTCTCGTTAAGCAGAGCCTCGCTGACGGGCTTGGTGGCCCGCGCGATGGTGCCGGACTGGTTGGAATCGGCCATTGCGATAAATCTGGAAAAAGAGTCAGCAGAGATTCGATCGGGCGAATATCCAATACCGACGAACCACTTGCAATGATGTGGAATTGAAGAGGTGAATAAAGACGTTAGTGCAAGGAGTTGGGAGTTTGAACGGAGCGAGTCGCTCGGGCAAAGGCGGTCGGAGCAATCCGCGGTTTTCTTTTTGGGTATCTTTTTTTTTTTCCTTCCTCGACAAATAAACCACCACTCACTCGATTATATTGCTTTTTCGCGATGCCGTTGCTTGCGGAGGTAAGTCTTTGTGAATATGTGTTTGTATCTCCAGTCTAATGTGTTGGGTTCAGCGTCCGCGCTCATCGCAAGAGGCGCTCCTCCGCCTCGAAAAAGGCACTGCCTCTCCGACTACCCAACTCCACGAAGCGGCGCAGATTCTCGGGTTAGATTTGACACTGTGTGAAAGTCATCCGGAAGTTCACCGAGATGTTCGAATTCAAACAAACGCCACCCCGAAGGAAGAATGGGTTCTACGATGGTTGTTGAAGAGACTGAGAAGTGGGAAGAACTACAGAGTGGACGCAGCTTCTTTCCTGCTACTACGACAATTGATCGACTTGATCTCGCCAAAGAACCTCGCTGCTATTTTAAAGGACCAGAAATTTTTGTCGATTCTATTTGAAACGATTGCAGATTTGGAAGCCGACATTTTCGCCGGCCTAGGGAATGGGATTGCGGCCCTGAGTTCGGACTCCGACTCCAGTCAAACACCGGCTGGTTCCCCGACCCATGACGATCACCGAGGGAGTCAAGGGAAAAAGAGAAAGAGAATGACAACTGAAAATGGGGACGCGATGGACGTGGACGGGGACGAACATCGGCAGAACCCCGCAGCATGCTTCCTCACCTTCATTCGCGCTTTGGATTGTCTGTATGGGATCGTAACACTTACACGCCGCACACTGGGCACTGATGGAGTGGCAAACTCGCATCTGAAACTTGCGCTGAGAGGCGAGCCAGAGGCAGTTGCTATGCTGCTGGGTCGATCATTCCGAGTGGCTGCTGTCGCCGCCAAGCAGTTTTCGCATGCGGGGAAGACGACCGATCTTCAGCACTTGCTGTACGTGTTTCCCGCGGCAGTGGAGCTGTGGGAATCGCGGTCTTACCGTCAAGATGACACGGACAACAAATCCAGCAATGAATTTTTCGCGAGACACTGCTTTGCTCATGCGCTCAGGCTCCAAATCTGCCTGCGGTCCGCCAAGCTTGATACTGATGAGTGCGCTCATCTTCTTCATGCTATCGAGCGTATTATTGCCTTGCATGTTTTGCTCCCGGCACGTGCGGCATTCTTTGAACGTGGAGGCTCTGGTATCGACTATTCCAAGGATGAGCCCGACTGGAGTCCAGTCAAGCCCGTTACCGATACTTTCAAACCGATCATTCGCGAATTTCCCGTAGCGAAAGAAGACAAATCCACAATTGAGCCCTGTGGCAACCCCTGGCGATCAGTTGAGCTTCTTCCCGAACTGTTCGACAATGCCGTCCGTGCTGTCCCGCGTGATGTGTTCCGACGACAGACACACGAAGCTCCTTGGCTTGAGACTTTGTTCGTTGCTGTCGCAGAGCTGGCCTTCTCTACCGCGAAGGAAGAGGATTTCGCTACATTTGACTCCAAATTCGTTGCGGTGTTAGAGCAGCTTCTCCAAGTAGCTCTCGGTCGGAACGTCGGCCTATCTCTACACACCATTCTTGCACATGCCAACTACACTGGTCTCTATGAAGAAGGTCTCAAAAAGGTCCAGTGGAATGTGACAGCTTTGTTCATCAGCCTGGGTGTTGATGTTTTCCTACCCAACTCCGGTTTACGTGATTCTCGCAAGCTTCTCGATGCATTGCTCGCCAAGATTCTATTGCAATGGCATGAAAATGGCACTGGGAAACCCGAGGTTTACAACACCATCAAGACTAATGTCGTGCTTCCACTTCTGCGAGGGTTCGCCGCGGCAAGAGATCTGCCAAATTTTATGGAAGTGTGGCACAATCAACTTGTTGCCGTGGAAGAGGCTCGCCAGGACAACAGTAATCTGAGTTTGTTCTCAGTCTGGGAAGACGATGATTTGTCTGACGCTTACTCTGAGCTAATGCGAACTTCTCTCACCGAGTCGCGCGTCGCTGCTCAGATGCGTACCGCCGTTAGCGAGACTAAGGCCGATAATGGAAAGATTGCGGAAACTCCGCAGTCTTATGCTAAGTTCGTTATTGTCGAGGCAAGCTTCCGGGGCCGTGTTTCGCCATTCCCAGAATCGGACAAGATCTTGACATCCCTCCTTGAGACTGTGACATCGACTTTGTCCTCGAAGCAAGCTCTTCACTGGCGATGGCGTTTGTGGCGGTTGGTTCGGAACCTTTTTGACAACACTCTGCAGTCAGCCAACCATGTTCTGGCAAAGTCCGTGATGGAACTGCTGCAAGTTGCTGCAAAGGTCGTTCATCGCAACCACAAGGACCTGGCCAAAAAGCCTCTCGCTTCGCTCGAGTCTTGGGAAGCTTACCGGTTTGTTCTGGATGCGATCAAGGCACACGCCAATGAAGAGCAGCGAAACTCGTTTACCACGGTCACAAAGGACGTCACTGATCTTATCATCTCCATCTCTCCTGATGATGCCAAGAGGTCGATGAAGGCGCCCTGGAATGGTCAGACTGATACAGTGGAATCCCAAACCACTCTCGGCCTCGCTTACTTCCTGGCCCTCGTCAGAGTTCCAGAAGTCTGGAGCCATATCGCTTCTGAAGAGCGATCGCGTCTATTCCGACACATTCTGTCTCTGGCCGCTGCTCAGTACCGTTCTTCTTCGTTGCCTCTCGAGGCTATTTCCGAAGAAGCAAGATTCCTCCAAGCATGGGCGAGCGTGGTCTGCCACGAATATCTGCTCAACGCCCCTCTAATTGTATCTGATCTCTCCCTTCTCTTGAATGAGAGTATCGAACAAGACTCATCTAACCGCCGAATCCTGGTGGAGAGTTTGCAAAGAATCCCGGCTGCACTGATCACCCGTGGGCTGCGGACCACAATCCTGAACAAACTACATGATGTTGTGCTTCAGCAGGACAGCTCTCCCGACGTTGTGGTTGGCATTCTCACTATGATGGCCAAACTGGCAGCTATGCCCAAATGTGATGCCGCACTGACCAGCGATTGGGAGCCAATCTGGACCGCAGCTCGTGCAGTCTCACTGGAGGGCACAGACACCGATCTTCAGATCATGAAAGCATTCCGAAGCCTGTACCGCGCTATTCTGGCCAAACTCTTGGTCTTGTCTGAGAATGATCGGAACAAGCTTTTCAAGAAGCTCTTCGCTAGAGTATCAAAGCAAACCTCGAAAATGAGGCAGGTCGATCGCGACTCCATGGCCTGCTTCCTCTTGCGGTTGTCTCTGTCTGAACTTTGGGTCCACCGCAAGAAATTGCAGACAGCCTTCTCGGAGACGGAACTGGCTGCACTTCGTCAACGGGTGTTTGACCTGGTGTTGGCTGACATGAAATACGTCAAAGACCAGTGCAGGAAGCAGAAGCTGGAAGAGACCATCACTCTCATCAAGACCATTGATGCACTGGAAGATTTCGAGGATCTAGCTACCAACAACATCGAGGTCGAGAAGTTCCTGTCCAAGATCGAGAACTACATGGAAATGTCCATTGATTCAGGGCCGTCCCGTTTGATTCGACGCCGCCTTCTCGCCAGCAAGGGACCTGAGAAGAACATCGCTCAACCAGTCCTTCAATGCGCCGAGACTCTGACCCTCCAGTCTCTCTACGCCGAGGACCAGCAGCTTTTCATCCGAGCCACAACCGAACGGTTCCGCTCTATGCCCATGGAGAAAATCACCCAGGCAATCTGCGAAGTAAGAGGACTTGGCTTGATTGGCCAGGACGCCGGATACAGACTCCTAGTGATCTATCTCGCCATCGCCTCGATCCCTGCTGTCGAGGACAAAGAGAGCGCCACAGCCAGAGAACTATCCCTCCTCTGTACTGCTCTCGCCGAAGTCATCCCACAGAGCACAAGCATCGACCAATTTTGTTTCGCATCCGAATGCTTGGACCTCCTCCTCCGCACCCACACCCGCAGTCTATCACAATGCAACATCGACGCCATCCTCGCCGCCATCGCCAGCGCCTCCTCCAAGATCGGACCCCAGATCTCCTCTGAATACTCCCCAACAATCTACACTCGCCTCTGCCGACTGATGGGCGTCGTCCTAAGCCTCCAACGCCTAAAGATCGGCGGCCGCTTCCACCTCGTCGTAAATGCCATGCAACGTCTCCTAGGCTGTCTCTTTGCACGCTCCCGCAAGCGCGGCCGCTCAGCCCGCTCCCAGACAACCCTCTCGCTGCCCTTCTGGCTCGCTCCCCTGGAAGCCTCGCACGCAACATACTATACGCGACTCCTCACCTCGCTCTGCGACCCAACCGTGTCGTCAGTGTTACGTCCGCAGCCAGGCGCATCCCGCGAAGCCCTCACGGACCAAACGAAGAAAGCAAAGCGCATTGCCGGACAGTACCTGCAGTACGTCATCATGGAGTATGCGCAGTGTTCGTTGCGTGGTTCGTTGTCGCCGGAGGTTAAGGCTGCCATTATGCCTGGACTGTATTCTGCTTTGGATGTTATGTCGCGGGAGTCTATGCGGGCTCTTAATGCTGCGTTGGATGTCTCTGGCCGGGCTGTGTTCAAGTCGCTTTATGATGACTATGTTAAGTTCGGCAAGTGGAATAAGGCTTGATCTTTTTGGTTGGGAACACTGTCTTTTATGTATACTATTCTATATTTTGTTCAAGAATTATGATATCCCCAATGCATTGATGATCATACAGAATTGGTGCTAGAGATGTAGTGTAGATATCCGTATAGGATAGGGAGAGAGGGCCATTAGCGCCCAACTAGGTTCAATTGCCTACTCTTATCTGATTGAAGGTCTGGGTAAAGGTGTGTTGGAAGGAATAAACCAAGAACAAAATAGTCAGAGTGGGGAAATGACCCGATAATTCCATTCAAACAAGCAATCAAATAGTAGCCGTCTAGGGTAAAATCTAGATAGGGTATCAAGGGAAATCATAAATCATGCGAGGTCAAAGTAGGTTAGAGCGGAAAAGGAGTGGGGAGAAGAGATTATTAAAGCGTGCATCATCTAGATCATCGAAGTCTCCATGGTGCGTGGGCTCAAGCATGGCACAGACACATTGTCCAGAACGGGGATTTGTGCAGTCGGAGTAGTAGAACTTGTATGTGGAACATGAGGAGGATTTTGCTGTTGCTCTGTATTCTCCGGGAACGGGCCTTCGGGAATCGGCGTATCGAGAGAGAAGCCGTTGTGGCCGCTATGTGTAAGGCAGCCCACGCAACTGCAGTCACTTCCACATTGGCAGCTCCCTGTCACGTCGGAGCAAGCGCTTGGTAATCCGACTGGGTATTCCAGAGTGTAGTACTCCGAAGGGTGCATCAATTGATGATTTAGGCTGGGATCAGCCAGAGGGGAGGAATAGCCGCTGGGCATGGCAGAGTTAGGATCTGAATATCCATCGAACGGGTTGTGCTGGAACGCATGGTCTATGGACGGGGTGCCCTGCATGTAATAGTTGAATGGAACTGGAGGTGTAGAACCCTGGAATGGTGAGGATTGATAAGGGTTGATGGATTCTGGGGTTTTGTCGTCGCCGTTGAACGTAATCATGGCACCCATCTCTTGAACATGCTTTCGTGTTGTAGTGTTGAACGGGTGAGCAGCACAACCCAGACACTGACAGTCCTCTCCACAGCGGCAGTCGTGACAAGGGTCATCACTTGCTGCTGCTTGCATGGGGTAAGGTGAATGAGAGTGGTTGAGCATGTAGGGACCCATGGAGGGTTGCGAGATTCCCAAACCGTTCATTGGGTTGTTGTATCCCATCGACGGCTGCGTGGCCACATTGAGTGGGTATCCACCGTTCGAATTTGACGGCTGAGTGTTTGGCGGAGGCATTGCGTTCTGCGAGAACCCATTTTGGAAGATTGGTGCGTGGGAAGGTGTTTGACTCATGGCGGACATGTAGTTCCCATGAGTAGACATCGTCTGATTCCCCCATGAGGTCATTTCTGGCACGCCGAACGGCATGTACGTTTGATTTTGACTATCCCAAGTAGCAGGTTGCTGGAATTGGTGTTTTTCCACATTTGAGTGCTGAGGTTCGGTGGCGGAAGGGCGAGAGCCGCAGCAAGACCCTCCATTCTGAGCCGGAGCCGGGGCTGGGACTGGGGCTGTAGTAGGCGCCTGGGGCTTTGTCGAACAACAGCTAGACACTGGAGGGGACTGTGATGATTCCCTCGAAGACTCTTTGGGTGATATCGGCTTGTGGTTTTGCGTGGCAGAAGGTTTGTATGAATCTAGCCCAGATTGGGAGAAGTTTGGCAAGTGAGTTGGCGTTCCATCCTCAATCTTGAGATTGTCTGGCATATTTTCCAATGCCCTTGCAATATTTTCAGGTGCTGCTTGCATAGTACTTTGTCTTCTTCCAGACTTTTGAACCTTGCCCGGGGCCGGAGAAGATGTAGAAGCCAGGGTAGGTGGTGACTGAGTTGATTCATTGCCTTCCATAGGAACTTTATACAATGGCCGGCATAGACAGGATGAGCCTAGTGCGGTTAGTACAAGAAGACAAAGGGTATGTAACAAAGATGTCTACCTTTAGGTATCCGGACCATCACGGCATATGTCTTCTGGCAACTGCAAGTTCCTTTTGGATGGGGACATTTTGCTAGAGGTCGCCCAGCTTTGGGGACCTTCATCATGAGTCTATCAAAGTGTTGGCATTTCGACGATCGGTGACCTCGAATGCATGGTTCGCTGGTGTGACTCTTTAGCCTAGCTCTATTTACAATCGAGACGGGATATATTCTTACCATGACCACTTGGCGCCTTCTTCATCGAGAGGCATACTTGCGACAAGATGTTGGGACGAGGATATTGACCAACGTTGTCAGACGAAGTGATTCGTAATGTCGCAACCGCAGTGGGCAGGCTTAGCGCGTAGTCGATACCCCGCGCATGCGATCGCCGTTTCCACCAAAACTGTCAGACCCGCACTTTGCGACGAGGTTAAGCCATGTGTCAAAGTGTATGTCAAAATTCTCGAGGGAAGATCGTATGAGGGAAAGGTGGAGTCAAGAGTGCAGTGGATGTGAGCGTTGCGGAAAAAGACCAGCGATACACCATGCGATATCAGAGACAAGACCGAGCAGAGGTAACGAGTCCTCGAGTCTGATCTGAGTCTGAGTCTGACTCTGTATAGATCGCGAAGGAAAGAAGAAAGAAAAGGTGCGGGGAGACTCGGTGCCTGTTTACGTAATCCTTCCTATTCGGGATCCTGTAATTGTTTCGATGACGACCTCGGAGCTTTGTCTCGTCAACTACCGTCGCAATGCCCCCCAAAGGCCAGGAAGGTGAGAGCAGTGCTAGCACCGACAGCAATTCCAATTCCTTCTTTACGGTCCCGGCACCTATCAAGCGCCTCTTCGACAAGTTCCCGTTGACCACCTATCCCGCCAACGAGCTCCCTCAACGCTTCCAGCCGAACACTGCCAACCAGCTGTTCGTTTTCACCGACGCGCGCGGTGCACGACATGGCCGACCTTCCTTCAACCCCCAATGTCTCAAATGGCAGGTTCGTGGCCCAGATGCAAGGGCGCATGCCCGTCGGGAACCATGCTGATGAACGCTCTAGGCCTACCTGAAATTCGTCGGAATCGACTTCGAGATCACCGCGTCCAACAACCACGCATCACCTACTGGCGCCCTTCCATTCCTCCTCCCTGCACTTCCGACAGACACATTGAACCCAATTCCATCACACAAGCTCCAAAAGTGGGCCATTGAACAAGTTCACTGCGAGGAGGAACAGCAACTGAACCTCCGGTTTGAGGTGTATGCCTCGCTGCTGGACCACCGGATACGCCATGCCTGGGTAGGAACAACTACAAACTCAAAATAAGGACCGACTAACGTGTCTAGTTATACATGCTCTACTTGGACAGCGAGAACTTTGACGCCGTCGCCCGCCGACTCTACGTGGAACCCGCAACAACCAACACCGTCGTGCGCGCCGCTCTAAGCCACCAGCTCCAGCAAGCCGCCCGCGACGAGCTCCTCAAAAACTCACGATACATCGACGCCGCCGACCTGGAAGGTGATGCGGGCGGCGCATTCGAGGCATTATCCACACTACTCGGGGAGGATGAGCACTTCTTCAGCCGACCAAACCCAGGTCTATTCGATGCCAGCGTTTTCGCATACACGCATCTGATCCTGGACGACACGCTAGGCTGGAAAAAGAACCGGCTGGCACAGCTGCTCAGGGAACATCCCAATCTTGTACAACACCGCGACAGACTACTCAAATTCTTCTAAATGTACCACTACCAGCGACTTGTGAATTCGACCGGATTTTTATTCAAATAATATCCTATTAACCTCCGTCTTATTCGTATCCATTCACGCTGTTTCACTACTTGCTAAAACAAACCCCAAACCAAACCCTAACCCCATCCCATTTCTTAGCCCTCGCACCCAGCACCTTCCCCGATGCCTCATCAACACCTCTAGCCAAAACACCATCCTCATTACAGCCAACAACATCTTCAATCTTGAACCCCGCCTCCGCAGCCACAGCCACTACATCCCCAATCTGGTGACAATAACTCGTAGGTCGAATCTTAACCCCAGTCGCCGGATCCGTGAAACCCGCCTGACTGCGCATCCCCATATCAGCATGCATATTAGTGACCAAGAGATATGCACCAGCTCTCATAATCGCCGATGCGGCAGTGAAGAATTGCTGAAGTGGGATATGTTCTAGTACAAGTGTAGATATAACACCCACTGCCCCGGCTGTAGGCTCACGCAAAGAAGCAGGTAATTGCTCCATGGTAGTATATAGAAGGTCAAAAATTCCCAACGTCACGGCCGGACTTGGATTCTCTGTCCCGACATGCTTTTGAATGGTGGTGCCCGCAACATCCAACATACCGGGTGAAGCATCTAAACCGACGATTTCGAATTGGTCTGCCCCTGCATTTGATGATAAAGCGTCTGCCAATTGAATTGTGTTCCTGCCAGTTTAACAGCCGAGATCTACGAGGGTTGCTCGAGATGTTCCGGCGGTTGCTGGGACTTAGAAGCGAGCACTGACACGATCGAGGAACTGGGGAAGCAGAGCTCGCAGTTCAATCGTATCAAGTCGTTGCAGGAAATTCCCATCCGTGTCGTAGACCTAAATATAGTTTAGGTTTTAGCATTTAATACTCAGAAAGTAGAAGACCGATCCGCCGATAATTACTGAATAGTTTGTGCCATTTCGGATAGCTGTTTTAAGATTGGATACTGTAACCCCCGGCTACAGGGTATTTGCGGGGATAGATAGAATGTTTTGGCGCTAATGCTTGTCGCTTCTCCAACCTGTAGGTCGAGTTTGGCTATACATTAAAGTCCGTTTGAGTCAGTAAAGTGACTCATACTCTAAAATCTGTAGATATCTTCTCGGTTAGAACGAAATGGAGGTGAGGAAATACACTAATTGGGTGGTTTCCCGGGGAATGGATAAGCTTCGAGGAACCCTGGAACCAGATTGAGATCGAGATCAAGATCTACACCTACACTATATAGACTATACAAGTATACATCTACATCTACATGGAACATTCTATCATCAAGTGTATATAGCATTGGAAATAGTCACAGAGAAAAATCGTACACAATCATGTCGCCATTAGAGAGACAAGGAGAAAAAAAAAGGCTAGAGGCCCAATAGGGAGGAAGACACAATTCCAGAATCGGAGTGAGAGATAAAAAAACAAGCCAAAAGAGAGAGAAACAACAGTCCAGGGAATCCCCGAATAGCCGTACCGGACGGACCAAAGTCAAAGGCTTGCAAAGAAGAAGAGGGAAAAAAGAAGGGCTAAAGAAGCAAAAGCAAAAAATGAACACCAAAAATCGCAGCGAGCATCGCGCATACTTTTCGGTCATGACGCTGTGAGTCAATCATCGCCATTTCGTGGTATAATTCAATAGACGGTCGCACCAAATGGCGCCGTCTCCTTCAAATCCTCCACCAAATCCTCAACGTTATTCAAATACCTCCCCAGAAGAGCCTGCTTCTCGTCGGTAGTGCGGGTATCCCGATTCATCTTAGCCGCCGCATGCGCAGCACTATGCGCACTGCGCGAGAAAGGCGCATTGGACAATTTACTCGGGCTGCGCTGCAGCCCAGGCGGAGGCGAGATAGGAGCGTGGGTAGGTGTCTCGGGCATGAGGTAGAAGTAGAGGAACTCGACGAGTTTGAGCTTGACTTCACGGGAAGTCGCGCGCTGCTTGAAGAGCGAAGTCACGGTTAACAGACCATCGAGGTCCTCGAAGGTGCGGGTGTTGGCGGGACAATCTAGGAGGGCGGTGACGAGGGTGAGGAGGGTTGCGGATTGCACGGCTGGGCAGTTGATTGGGTCGAGGAGGTCGAGAAGGAGGTTCATGTAAATCTCGCGGGCGAAGAGAGAGCGCGAGCCTGGGTGGAGAAGGAGCGAGCCTTGGATCAGGTCTAGTGTGCAGACGATAAGCATGTCGTTTGTGCCGTTGCTGCCTCGGCCGAGGAGGTGTTCGAGACAAGAGACGAGGCGCATGGCGACTGGTTGATTGTTAGTGAGATTTGTTTGGCTGAGCTAGTTCGGATGGAAACGTACTATTCCACTGGAAGCCTTCTTGTAGTTTTGAAAATTCGCGAAAGGCTGGGTCATCGCGTAGATCGGAGAGTGCCTTGGGCACTGGCTGGGGTGTATCGGCCAGACGTGATTTCCGCCGGTCAGACACGGGCTTTGGTTTGGATAGACATATTTGTGCGAGAAGACCCTCGACCTGACGCAGGCCCTTTCGGATCTTGCTGGGCTCGTACGAGGAGAGATAGTCAAACGAGTGCGCCAGCAGAGCCTCCATGAAGATAGATCAGAGTGATAGATAGAAATGATAAACCCCGGGGAAAAACAAAGCAAGCCATCAAGGTCTTATATCAAAGAAGTGTCAGTGGACCCAGATGAGGTCAGTTGGGCCCCTTCGCAGGTAAATAAGCTGCGTTGCCGTGACGACCCCCTAATAACCAAGGAACTCATCACACTTGGTGTGCTTAGCTGCCCAGATCGACTGATGGCGTTAATGACAATCGAGTTTAATTTAATTATAGGAAAAATCCCTGTCTAGTCTAGGCTTTGGCTAGGGAATATAGGGTGAGCTTATGTTTGCCTCGACGGCCACTCCGGTTGCTATGTGAACACTCAACAATATTCATATGCTATCCTTACTTGTTTCCTTGCGTGCTCGCAGAGATACGTTCAGTTACTCTAGTACATGTGATATATCAAATATCGCCCAGGTCTCTGCATATCAAACATTAACTTATACTCATTCTTCTACTAACGTTATTACTAAGTTTCTACTACTACTGCTACTACTACCAAACTACAAACACTGATAAACTACCAACTATTAACTACTATCTACTATCTAATATCTACTAATACTAGTGCTATCCCTTGCTCATTATGTCTGACAAATATGCAGGCATCAAGTGGCTGTTACTTGTCTCCGCATTCTGCCCCTCCATCTTCCGTCACCCACCATGAGTTCAAACACAATGAGTTCACCACCAAGTCCCATCCCCCCTCGCACCAGCTCGATGGGCGCAACAAACGGGGAAGCCCATCACACCGACACAGGTCATCAGTAACAGGAGAATCCTCCACGAAACACCGGCGCAACAAGTCCAGTGTCGATGGCACCAAATACAAAGATGGAACGTGGTCGGCCAAGAACGAAAAGATCCTGATAGGACCGTACGACTATATGCATGAGCACCCCGGCAAGGATGTACGACGACAACTCATCCAAGCCTTCAATTCCTGGCTGCAGGTCCCACCAGAGAGCTTGGTGATCATCACCAAGGTAGTGACCATGTTACACACCGCGTCCCTTCTGTGAGTCACCCTCCAACCTCCAACCTCAATAATCTAAATACTAATCCTGCTCCGCGTATCCAGAATCGACGACGTCGAAGACAACTCCATCCTCCGCCGCGGCATCCCAGTCGCACACAACATCTTCGGCACAGCACAAACAATCAACTCAGCCAACTATGTGTACTTCCTAGCACTACAAGAAGTACAACAACTCAACAACCCACAAGCAATGGACATCTACATAAAAGAAATGCTAAACCTGCACCGCGGACAAGGAATGGACCTCTTCTGGAGGGACACACTCACCTGCCCAACCGAAGACGAATACCTAGAAATGGTAGGCAACAAAACAGGCGGACTATTCCGACTCGCGGTGAAACTCATGCAAGCCGAAAGCAAGACCGGCAAAGACTGCGTGGCGCTGGTGAATGTCATGGGCCTTATCTTCCAGATCTGTGACGATTACCTCAATCTCTCGAATACGGTGTATACGCAGAATAAGGGGCTCTGTGAGGATTTGACCGAGGGCAAGTTCTCGTTTCCTATTATTCATAGTATTCGCTCGAACCCATCGAATCATCAGCTGCTTAATATTCTTAAGCAGAAGACGAAGGATGATGAGGTTAAGAGGTATGCTGTGCAGTATATGCAGAGTACTGGCAGTTTTGGGCATACGCGGCAGGTTGTGAGTGATTTGAGGGATAAGGCTCTGGGGCTGATTGAAGCTATTGACGAGACGCCGAGGGTTAATGGGGCCGGGGATGGACAGATGGTGCGTGCTATTGTGGATAAGATTGTTGAGTCGACGTTGTCGGACCCTAGTGCTCATTGATGTGACGGGACGAGGGTAACTTTGTTGGATATACAGACTACCCTGTCATGCTTTGCAATTTGGTTGTATAGCTACGAGGTTACGAAGATATGATTCATGCTACTACACTATTCACCTGGAGTGGAGTAGAGTTGGTGGATGTAGTCGAGTATGAAGTAATGTGCTTGATAGTATATGATTAATGTAAACGGCTATCAAGTAACTGCTATCAAGAAAAATGCCCTTGTTCATTTCCACGTTCATGGGTATGTAACAGTCCCCCATCATGAGTCGTGTCCAGGCCGAACCCAGATAATGCATCTGACAGTCTAAAACAAAAGCAAGGCAAAAGACAGAACAAAGAAAAGTCATTAGACCAATTATCATGCATGCATATACACGTATATCCAAACACCAATATCACACCAACATACAAGTAGTAACACCTCACATAACAACACAGCAAGCCTTCTCCAGCTTCCGCAGAACCTTGGGCAAGATCGCATTAGCCAACTTCTCAAGCTCGTCAGGCTGGTTCTGGTTCTGGTGCTGCTGGTGTTGCTGGTGACCCTGCTGACCAGGGTACTGGTGCGAACCCTGGTGTCCCTGCTGGTGACCACCATAAGGCGGCATAATTGCCTCTCCACCAGTCAAGTTGACATAAATACGACCAGCATTATCCTCAGTGGCATATTGCAAACCGAGTTCACGGCAGACCTGCTCGACACGGGGCTTGATCTTTTGGACGTGTTGGGCGGAGTGGTTACCCTTGCCGACGATGCTGAAAAGAGTCAGTATCATTCTCACCCCTTCGATATAAGATGAAGGGAACATACACATGAAGATGACTCTGCCCATGTGACTTGGCATATTTGATACGCTCTTCCAGAATCTCCTCCGCCTCCTCAACAAACTGACCATGCAGATCAATGGTATCATCGGCAACGCGTCCACTGGCGTTATTTTCCCGGAAGATAAACTCAGACGCTTGTTTGTTATACTCCTCCATCTTGCGACCGTGCGCCTTTCCCTCTTCAGAGAGCTGCTTCGCGCCGGCGCCATCACCGCTCGAGTATGCTTCCTTGGACTGCGGTGGGTGTTACATTAGCCTGGGTCGATTTAGATGCGTATGTGGTTCGATTAGATTGTTCAATCGCAGTCGCGGGCTGGAATCGAAATCGCTGGAATTGCATACCCGAGAGAAACATTGTCCGCGCTTGGAGGCTTCCTGGCGCGCGAGATCGCGGAGTCGATCGTACTCGGCTTCGGCGTCGCTGCTGTTGTCGTGGTTGAAGGCTGGATTGTTAGTATGTTGTTTGATTCTCTGGATGCTTGACTTACCCCTCGGGCCCATGTGGGACATTTCGTAAGACATGGTTAACCCCCGATCGCGGTCTTCCAGGCTGTACAGTACGGAGTAAGAGATAATGGAAGGGGAAGCTTTGCAGTGGGGCCCCGAAAAATCAGATCGATCTTGGGGGATTTCCAAGGTTCGGCTTTTTGCTTATTGCATTCACTTGGGTTGTTATGATTTCTATAGAGTATAGGCTATATAATATTACTAAAATGTTACTATAGCATTATTATAATATTTAAAAATATATACTTCATTTACAATATCACGATTGGGTAAACCGTGACGGATCTACGTCCAAGGTATAGCCTGAAGATCCACTAAATCCATGAACGCCTCCAGGGCTGTACGGGCGTACGGAGTACGAGCACAGAATGGAGTTCTGTATCTGGAGTAACAGTGTGGAACTCACAAGCCTCTAATTTACCTTCCCGAACTCAGGGCAGGCTCAATAGTCTCTCGCCACGCGGTGGAGTATACAGTACAATGCTCATGTATAGAAAACGACTAGAAGCACTAGCCAGTGGGTCAACCAGTGCAGAACTCCAGGAGATGTCCAAGATTTGGCCAAATCTCCTCTCATGTAATGCTATTGCAGATCACTGTTTCAAGCAATACGTACACTAAATGTACTGTTATAACTACAGTAAAGACAACATCCGACAGTGTCACAACAGAGTACATGTAGATATACAGTGGACTCCACTAGATAGCGATCCACGGATATGCAGCTGCAGTTTGCATGTACTTTGTACCTGGTAATGTATTGGCTTATCCACTAAAGAAGCCACAAAGAAGCACCAAAGAAGAAACAAAGAACCCCTGGCGCACATGCTTCAGACCGAAACGATCTGAGACGCTGATGTGAGGTTAGACCGAATCAGAGTAAATAGGGGCTGATTGTTTACGGAATTGGCTTGAATTGGCTAGATCTATTCACGTCAGCACATATTACATAGTACAGGCTAGTTAACATCATAATGTTCTACTGACTTTATACTCTCGAGTATAAAATACAAACCTCAAAAGGGGTTGCTCATCAGTCTCCACCTCAACCAATCAGACCAGCTGACTGGTTGTGTATTGGCCTGTACTGGATGGTAATATATACCTGATACCCGCCTTTCTCGCCCCCCAAAACAGCTGTATTGTCAGTGTATTGGCCGTGTATCCCCTTTTGCTGAAACTTCCCAATTTCCCCCTCTAACCCCTTACCTTCATCCTTCTTCTCTCTCTGAACGTCTCTTCTATTCTTTCCTTTAATCTCTATTGTTTTTGTCCATTTAAGGTGAGTTTTCTGTTTCTTTGTCCTGGGATCTCCTTGCGTCGACACGCTTGCACAGATCCTGAAACATCTCCTGTTTCTGCTTGTACCACCTACCCTCGAGCCTGAGATCGGAAGAATTTATTTTCAGCTTATTTCAGCTTATTTCAGCTTGCTGACAATTGATCAGGCCCTCCGTAATAGATCAAAATCCCTGCCTCTCGAGACCCCTTTCACACCGTTGATTGCGCCCACTACAAACCGCCAAAATGGGTTGCGGAATGAGCACTGAGGACAAGGAGGGGAAGGCGCGGAACGAGGAGATTGAGAACCAGCTCAAGCGCGACAAGATGATGCAAAGAAACGAAATCAAGATGCTGCTTCTTGGTATGATATGCATCCTGAATCTCAGACGCGGAGAACTGACATGCGAATACAGGAGCGGGAGAGTCGGGCAAGTCCACAATCCTCAAGCAGATGAAGCTCATCCACGAGGGTGGATACTCTCGTGACGAGCGCGAATCGTTCAAGGAGATTATCTACAGCAACACCGTCCAGTCCATGCGGGTAATTCTCGAGGCCATGGAGTCCCTGGAGCTGCCCCTGGAGGACGCTCGCAACGAGTACCACGTGCAAACCATCTTCATGCAGCCCGCTCAGATTGAGGGTGACAGCATCCCCCCCGAAGTCGGCACCGCCATTGGCGCTCTCTGGCGCGACACCGGTGTTCAGGAGTGCTTCAAGCGCTCGCGCGAGTACCAGCTGAACGACTCTGCCAAATAGTGAGTTGCAAAGTGATTGCTGCGCGATGGACTTGACTAACTTTTTCAGCTACTTCGATTCAATTGAGCGTATCGCCCAGCCCGACTACCTTCCCACCGACCAGGATGTCCTCCGTTCCCGTGTCAAGACCACCGGTATCACCGAGACCACATTCATCATCGGAGACCTGACATACCGCATGTTCGACGTTGGTGGTCAGCGTTCCGAGCGTAAGAAGTGGATTCACTGCTTTGAGAATGTTACCACCATCCTCTTCCTGGTCGCCATCTCCGAGTACGACCAGCTGCTCTTCGAAGACGAGACCGTGAACCGTATGCAAGAAGCCTTGACTTTGTTCGACTCCATCTGCAACTCCCGGTGGTTCGTCAAGACCTCGATCATTCTCTTCCTCAACAAGATTGATCGTTTCAAGGAGAAGCTCCCCGTCAGCCCTATGAAGAACTACTTCCCCGACTACGAAGGCGGTGCCGACTACGCCGCGGCTTGCGACTACATCCTGAACCGTTTCGTCTCTCTCAACCAGGCCGAGCAAAAGCAGATCTACACTCACTTCACCTGCGCCACTGACACCACCCAGATTCGCTTCGTCATGGCTGCTGTGAACGGTAAGACCCACATCTTCCATAGTAAGAAACATCGCTGACATACCATAGATATCATTATTCAAGAGAACCTCCGTCTCTGCGGTTTGATCTAATGAAACCGTTTCCGTGACGAGTGTCGATAGATCGCATGTTTTCATTAACCGGGGCTGATCGGAACCGCCGGTCAAAAGCCTCGTTTCAAGATCCCGGCGTTGAATTCCTTCTGCTTTGCTTTTCCTTTCTCTCTTCTTCTTGATTTCCCTTTTCCTTTCTCATCTTCTAATTGTCTCGTCCTTGACACGATCTCTAGCCGGCTTTTGTGTTTTCCTTTGTCACTCCTGATATCCACGACAGAAAACAAGGAGTGTGCGAAATCCACGGGCTCACCCTCCACCCCCGTGGTCTTGTTTTTCTCAACTTTCTTTTTGTTTGATCCTTTCCTGCCACTTTCTTACCTCTTTCCACTTTTTTCTTTTTTTTTTAACCTGTCTGATTTGAATGCTGGATATCCTATCATCTTGTGGTGCCCCCCTCTTCTTGTTTATCTTGTATGTAACCATACCGTCTTCCCCCATCATTTTCCTTGGTCTCTCGCGTCCGTTGGAAGCCTCGAGCGACCATCTGGGCAAACTAGGCACGGGGAAATGGCAGGATCCGCGGATTTTCATGTCTCCTTCTCATGTGTCATGCCAGGTCGGTCGTTGGGTTATTTTCAGAGTTCAAGAATTGAATCTAGGGTTCTGACTCTTTAATTGTTAAGTTATGTCAACTCTTACAGTATATCAGTAGATCAGTAGATACTGCCTACCCCAGACAGAGCCAATACATGTCAAAGTAGTAAGCTTCAAACGGGTATCTATGCACGATGTCAACATCAAGACATCAGACCTAAAACCTCAACTTAGGCCCAACAAAAACAATCAAAATAGCAACAACCCACAACCCAAAAATCCAAGCATAAAGCATCATCCGTCCCCACCAACCCTTTCCCTCCGTCATCTTCCTCAACAGCCCCATCCTCTTCCCAGCAGCCTCCATAGTCGTACTCGTCCGATCAATCCCAGAAACAGCGCGGTCAAGCGCGGATTTCTCGCCTTCAAGTGTAGACTGGAAAGTCTTCGACGAGGACTTGAGTTGTGAGGCTAGCGTTAACAGGGAACTGGTTAAATCCTCTTGTTCCATTCGATGGGTACTGAGTTCTTTTTCGGTTGCTGGTTTCGATTGGGTATTGGTATTGCTGCTGGTTGTTGTAGCAGTTGGTTTTTCAGACGTAGACGAAGATGTAGAGGTCGGTGTTGCAGATGGAGTATTCGTATGCCGATTCCGCAGAGTAGGAAGTTGAGACGACGCAGTCGCAGACGTCGGCGTCGCCTCCGTAAGTGTAATACTCGGACCGGACATATCTAACGACGTCGTCGTTGTTGAACTGCCTTCATCCATCTCATCCCATTGCGGTTCAGTCGTTCGAATCGGTGCGGGTTGATTCCTGGTATGTGGGGAAGTAGAGGCGATAACTTTCTCTTTGGATATAGGCTTGGAGAATAGCTCCTTCCATTCATCCTCGCCGTCTTGATTTTCTTCGTCGTCTTCCTCATCCTCCTGCTTCACCTGTGCCTTGGCATCCTCTTCGTCGAGAATCGATTGGATCCGCTTGAGGAGTTGTCTATCGCGCGCGATCTCGGCTTGTGCTTCGTGTTTGCGGTCGAGGGGTTTGAGTTGCGGGAGGGCGCGTTCCAGTTGGGTTAGGAGGGTGCGGGCGTATTCCACGTTCTGGGGTTGGGTTAGATATTGCTTTGGGGGGAGGGTATGAGGTACGGGCTGTAGGAGTGGATGTGGTTGGACTCACCTTGTTTATGCGCATGCGCTGGTATTCGGATTGTTGGAGGGAGCGCCGGTCTGTGCCTGGTGAGAGGAGGTTGTTTTCGAGGCGCGTGAATAAACGGGCGACATTGAGAAGGGCGAGGTCTGGAGAACCATCTGTTGGGAATGCTGTAACGGTCATAATTGGAGTCAAGTGTGAAGACGGTAGTACGTAGACGTAGGTGTAGCCAGTTGGAGATGGTCATTGACAGGATGACTCAGCTCAGGGCACAGACAGACGGCCAAGGTGGCGAGTGCATATGTTGACATCGCCAGTAAAGTGCTGGTCCGCTACAGTTGGAGCTTCGGGCCACAGTAAAAAATTAATCCGAAGATTACTCGCGACATGATCAGATTCCTCCAAGATTTAGACTGTGGCGGACCCCACCCGTTACGCGACATGATTCCTTCAAGGTGGCGGAGCTTCCAGCATGGCACCAATGCATTGAAGCATGTGCGGTGTAGATCACAGTGATTGCCTTCGATTCTTCTTTATATAAATGTACCGCAGCATACGGTTTTGTATGGCTTTCATTCTTCAGTCTTAATTCTTATACTTCTTTTCTTATACATAAGATGGCTAGTTTTTCCATTGGAGACATTGTTCTCTGCAGTCAAATCGCTTACCGACTCCTCACTGCTGCAACAACTGGTCGGAAGAATGCACCACGCGACCTAAGGGAACTCGAGCATACACTATTAGCTTTGAATTTCTCACTTACTCGGCTTCAAAAGGCCTCCGCTGTGATCTTGTCTAGAAACACCAACCTGGACCCCGATGCTGCCGATATACAAAAACACTTAGGGCTTATGGTTCGATTGTGCCGCCAAACCCTAGAAGATCTCGAACGAATGACTGCCAAATACCGCGACATTATGAAAGTTTCCACTTCAATCCAGTGCATTGATAGTCCCGGCAGTACCTCTCTATTCACACTCAAGGTACAATGGCGGAGATTCATGTGGGACCTCAGAGGAGAGTCATTGACCCGCTATCGACAAAAGCTTGAGACCCATACTGCTGCAATTAACCTTATGTTGAACACTTGCATATGGTTAGTCCCTGCCCACCATCTCCATATATTATCCTAACAACATCCTAGGTCCACTGCCGATCGCATCGAGGAAGACAGCAGGCGTCAAGGCCAAAGAATAGAGGAACTACTCCACCAAGCATCCAATTTCAACGGCACATTCTCTCATCTCATGCAGAGTATCCACCTTTCCATCGTATCTCATCGGCACTCAGTATCTCCTGTGTCATCTCCATCCTCGATGCTATCCGGCTCAGCATTGAGGGAAGATGATCCTAGTGAGATATATGCTCCAGACAATCATGGCCATATGGTATCCAGTCAGATCAGAGCTTAATAGCCAAGTCTCTCTCATTGGCTGCATAAGGTTTGACACAATGTTGCAGTGTCAACTGTATTCCAAACCAGGCATATTTGTAATGGAGTCTAGGCGTTCTTTGATCTATAGTTCAGCCCAATATCCCCATCTCCCATTTCTACCTGCATTTTCAAGTCTGTTATATAAGGCATAAGAATTGTTATCACTTTGTCCTAGGCCAGTGTTCATCATGGGGCGCGGCGCATACGACACAACATAGACATGTAAGCCACAAAATAGAACCGCCAATAAAGTCACACGCTATGTAATTAAGGAAAGACTGCATGCACGGGTCATGTCATCATAACAGAGCAGGAACAATAAAAAATGACCAGATAAGGCAATAACCAGGAAAACAGCAAATCAAAGCCAGAATCCCAACAAAACGCAAAACTGATTACCTGCAAAATGCCAGCAAAACCACCCATACTTAATCATGAAGGAAGGTGATCCCCATCCCTATCACTGTCGGCTAATTGTACTCGATAACCACCCGCTTCCAAGTCCGCACACCTTCAGAATCCTCCTCGCGCATCTGCTGAACCGACTCATTGCACTTTCGCGCCATTCCCATCGTTTCAGGTGATGCCGGCCCGGAAGAAGCGATGTCATCCATCCCAAAGTTCGAGCTCACACTCTTCTGCTCTCGAGCCTGTGCAGCAAGGGCGCCACTGCTCGGAAAAGGACCCGACTGCGACAGAGGGCGGAGGATATCACACGCAGAGGCTGGCAGCGCAGTGGAGAAAAAGCCATCGCTCTTTTCCATAGTGGATAAATAGCGCCAGGAATCCGAATCAAGTCGTGAAGTAGTAGAAGGTAGTCTCCGGCGTCGAATTTTGATATACAGTCGAGCAAGAACAAGACTGAGCAGCAAGAAGCTGATCACACACAAAACCGGAAAAGCCAGCGACGCCGTCAGCAGCGGAACATAGACAGACAGACAGTCAGGAGCAGGGATCAAGCTCATGGCGAGATCGGTGGGATACAGAGAGTACCCAAAGGAAATAAGTTGAACTGACCCCAATAGTAAACCGGGGGGATACAGCTCAACTTAAAGACGCGGGGCAAAACAAGGCGACCAGGGATCCTCGACAGAGTTTACCGAGTGAGAGGGCCTGGTATTGTTTAATTTGAGACTATACGCGGACACTGCCCGGGATGGCGGCGTGTGAGGCGAGTAGTGGCGAATGGGGGAGTCAGGGACAGGGGTTGGGCTGGATTAGGTCTATATAAGATCTCGATTACACTAGGGCTAGGGGCCAAGCTAAAGAGACGTGGTTGTGATGCCAATGATCGACGGGACGTATGGCGGGGCGATGTACTCTGTATGTGTATAGAACAAAGAAACATTACAGAACGAACCACACGGTTCAGAGATTGAACTTTAAAACAGACTCTGCATTACAGTACATTCCTGTAAGGATCAAGGTGATGGATCAGAAACCTTGGCAAAGTGTCTCTAGCAACCGATGAGTGGATAAATTGCCAGCCAGCCCTCTCATCTCAGCTGCCATTTGACACGCCACCTTCGTCTTAGGTATAGTCAAGGGGTAAGAACTATACTGCCTACAGTAAGTAAGCCACTACGCAGACCGCATAGTTCCCTCGATTTGGAATTAACCCGAATAAAAACGGGAAATCCACGATCCCAGAGGCTCGGTTGCGGAGAAAGCCCTCCATGTGCTGTCGATCATGACAAAAGTTGCATTTGGTCGAGATCGTAGATCACGACTTTCAGCTGGCGCCTGCTCTTTAGTCTGTAGTTAGGGCCCGCTAAGCGTTCCCGCGCGTCGAATCACAGTGGGAACAGCCCTGCTTCGGCTATTATAGGCGCCCCCTTGATGTGGCTAAAGTGGGCTAAAGTGGGCTAAAGTGGACTAAAGTGAACTAAAGTAAATTTGGGCGTTTTCTTTCTTTTCGCCCCATCAGGTTTTTAATGGCCTGTCATGCACTGATCAGGTCCCGACACTGTGGATCTCTTATACTCTCGAGGTCTTGTAGATACACGATGATCAATATGGACGGTCTACCCTTTGTATTTATGTATCAAATAACAATTGTAAATATACAAAAGAATAAAACTAGAGCTTCGCCGTAGGCTTCAATTCCTCCTTAGCCTGCTCACGCAGCTTGTTGCGCAAGATCTTGCCCGATGGATTCTTCGGTATCGCATCGAGGAATACCACTCCGCCTGTAATCCGCTTGAACGCGGAGACCTTGCCATCCATGAACTGCGTGATATCGTTGGCTGTAGCGGAGTGGCCCGGGTTCAGGACAATATATGCCCGAGGACGCTCGTCATTATTGCTATTCTTGTTAGAAATAATAGATTGAATGGGAGGCAAATTGCAGACATTGTCACTTACATGACAGCTCCGATCACTGCGACGTCTGCTACGGCGGGATGATCGAGTAGCAGAGCCTCTAGTTCGGCGGGCGCTACTTGATTGCCCTTGACTTTGATCAATTCCTGCATAAGTTATTGTTAGTTCCGTGTTTCTCCCCTCTTCTCTCTGGTTCGCAGGACTATACCTTCATTCGATCCACAACGTGGAATTTCCCCCGATCATCCACATAGGCAATATCACCCGTTCGCAGCCAGCCATCGTCCGTCAGAGTCTCCTTGGTGGCTTTCGCGTTGCGCCAGTAACCTTTCATGATATTCGGCCCCCGCACCCACAGCTCGCCACGCCGGTTACGCTCCAACACCTCTGCACCTTCAGGCGTGACGATCTTCGCCTCACAGTTAGGATTAGGCTCACCGACAGATGCAGAGCTACTGGTCTCCGTCGGATCCCACCCAAGCACAGAACATGTCGCCCTAAAACAAACAATTAGCTCCCAACTTCATACCAAACGAACAAGTATATATATATACATATATATATATATATTAAACAAATGAAAAAAACTCACTCAGTCATCCCCCAGCCCTGCTTAACATTAATCCTCCCAGCAGGCCACAACCTCTCAACAACCTCACAAACCTCCCTCCCAAGCGGCGCAGCCCCACTACCAACAGCCTCAACACTAGAAAGATCAAAGTCCTTAACGGCAGGATGTTTAGCCAGCGCAACGACAACGGGCGGCACAAGAATATAATCGGTAATCCGGAACCGCTGCGTATACTCCAGCATACGCACGAAATCAAACTTGGGCATGATATAAACGGGCGTGGCGCGGTACAGCGCAGCCGCAATAAAGATATTCTGTGCCATTGCATGGTACATAGGCAAAAAGCATAACCAGCGAGCGCGGGTCAGACGAGCCTCGTAATCCGGGTTTAGAGAGGGGAGGTGGCAATATTGGAGCATATTGGCGACGTAGTTCTTGTGGGAGATTTCGACGCCCTTAGGGCGGCCCGTTGTGCCACTTGAGTAGTTGAGCGCTAGAGTGCGAGATGAGAGGGATGGGGTATCCAGGATATCCCAAGTGAAGGCGGCGCCTTCTTCTGGGGATGCGAGGAGGTCGCTCCAGTAGGGGCAGGGACAGTTTGGTGGTGGGGATGTGTGGCCATCGTAGATAGCGCTGTCAAAGGCGAAGACGCGGGATAGAGGGAGATTGACTTGTTTAGCGGCTTCCAGACCTGTTTCTAGACTGGCTGTTGCGCAGAGGAGGTATGTAGCGCTGCTGTCTTGGAGTTGGTAGGCGAGTTCTCTGGCTACGAAGGTTGGATTTGCGCCGGTGAAGATGCCACCGGCCATTATCGTGCCCATGAAGACTACCGGGAAGAAGAGGTCATTTCCTGAGAAGAGGAGGACGCGATCTCCTGGTTGGAGGCCTGCTTTGCGCAGGCCGGCTGCGAGCCGTTGGCTCCAGAGGCGGAAGTCATGGGTTGTTAGGAAGTGGGTTTCTGGGCGGGCTGCTTCTAGGTAGCATTTGTGGGTTTTAGACAGGGCGGCTGTGGGGGATTTGAGGAGGAGAGATGCTAGATGGGTGTCGGGGATGTCAATTGTCCAGCGGGATTTGTAGGGCATCGTGACTTGGCGTATATAAAGTTGGGATGGATATGTGAGGATAGGTTCAGATGCAGTCTAGCTGGGGAGAAAAGAAGTATTTATGGCACTGAGCCCTTCAGATAGGGCGATCCAGCACAATTCGCGTAAATAGTTGATAGTTCATAGTTCCCCCGCATAGTCGGTTATGTATGCGGGGAACCCGAGGCGCTAGTATGGAGCCTCGGTGTTCACACTCACATAGGCTATATATTGTGGCTATTTGCTTTATAAGTGAAAGAAATACTCGAGCTGCTTAATGAATCTGTATAGTGGCTATGAATATACTTTGAAGAACACTGATATAACCCGGGCCGAGTGAGCTGGTTGATATCATCGGGGAAACTACGGGTACAGGCTACCCCTACACCAATGAGAATTGGAACAATGCAATAGTTTTATTGAGCTCCGGCATGCATAAAATAATTCATCTGCTACACCCCATCCAGCCCAGGTAATACGGAAATAGTGAAAAAAAAAAGCAAAGGCTATAACGACATGTTCATGAATCCTCCTTGAGACAGGCAAGTGCCGCCTTCATCTGATTGACAACCTTCTCCTCCAACCGGTTTTCTGCCCCAGAAGACGAGCTGAGAGGCTTCTTCCGGGTCCATTCAATCTCCTTATCACACGTTGGGACAATGCGAGCCCGCAGAACAGAGCGGCGGCCAAGCAGTTCCTCAATATCTTCCTTGACCTGCACCTTATCCCACTTGAGAGCCTGAATTGCCTGAGTGTCAATTCCAGCACTGGCGCCGGCCTCCCGGTATCGGTCCAGGATGTGGGAGATCAGAGCGAGGGAATTGGCCTCGGAGGCCATGCCAAGCGTTATCCAGTTCGAGGATGGTGCGATGGCGACGCCCGCATGCGCGGTGGAGAATGCGTCCGAGGCACGGGTTAGACGGCCTTCAAACTGGTTCAGGAAAGCGGCAACCTCTGGTGCGGTGCGCATGACACTGTAGAGGAGGTTCAAGCATAGGGGAAGGAAACCTCCAGTCCAGATAGCGAACAGGCGGGGAACTTGATCGAAGGGTCCGAACCCTTGGGTCTGGGAGAGGAGGTTTGTGAGACGGCAGGTAGAGAGCTTCATCAAGACTGCCTCAACGGCCAGGTGTTCTGCGAGCATGGGCAGCGTTGACATCTTGACGAGGATCGAGACACTGTATTGGGCGTAGACAGGGTCACCTGCCGCGGCTAGTTGATCGGCCCAAGAGAAGAGCGTTGTTGCATGGCGAACAGTCTCGTTCTCCTGAATGTGGTACACGATATGCTCATACAGGCGATCGGCGTTCTTCACTTGCAAGACCGTCTGGAGAATGGCAATGATGATGGAAAAGTCCTTTGTTGTGCATTTTTCAGGCTCGTCGTGCAAATACGTGGTGAGAGTTCTGAAGCCCTGTGCCACAAGCGTCTTTACAATTTCCACGATAATCGTCAGATCCGACGAAATCTCGGCCTTTTTGTTGATGACCTCGGGGGCCGCGCGAGAGGGACCATCCAGGTGGAACTGAAGGGCAAGGAATAGCACATTCAGGAGAGACCGGAAATAATCTGTGTCGTCATGGATCAGAGCATCTTCATACGTCGGGTGCCGGGCTCGCAGTGCATTCCAGGCGATTTCAAGTAGCTGGAAGACTTCGGCACCTCTGGCACCCACCTCAACGAGCCGCTGGAGGAGAGCTTGGGCGAAGTCAACGCGCTTTTGCTTGATTCGTTCAAAGATGGCCTCGGAAGCACTGCTTTCGGTATTGGCGATTAGGCAGTTTTGCGCAACAATTGCCATTGACTTTCGGATTTCGTGATCGGGCATGAAGTCTGTGCAATGCTCGATGGCGAAGAACTTCCAACTGTTGAGGAGATCCTATATTCAGTTAGACACGGCGATGCATGTTAGTGTTATGAGAGCAAAGACTTACCACCTGTGCCTCGACAAGAGACAAGTTGATATTGGCGCGCTGGAACTCATCGGCAA